AAAGTCTATCTTGTTACTGTTACCAACATATTAGAAAAACAATGCTGTTAAATTCTTTGAAGTACAATAAGCTTTGGTAATCTGACATTTTTGCTATCTGACATGTCTCCTGTCCAATAACCTTTGGATTGTCAAGAATCTGTAGGTGTGCTCTTACTTCCAGAACTCTGTTCATGCAACTGTTAATATTCATGTACATAACTGTTAGTGTTCATTCAACTGTTAATATTTATGTAACTGTTAATGTTCATGCAACTGTTAATATTCATGTAACTGTTAGTGTTCATGTGACTGTTAATGCTCATGTAACTGTTAGTGTTCATGTGACTGTTAATGCTCATGCAACTGTTAATATTCATGTAACTGTTAATGTTAATGCAACTGTTAATGTTCATGTAACTGTTAGTTTTATGTAACTTAATGTTCATGTAACTGTTAGTTTCATGTAACTGTTAGTGTTCATGCAACTGTTAATGTTCATGTAACTGTTCATGTTCATGTAACTGTCAGTGTTCATTTTTTTAAAAATTCACTAGCTAGGAATATTTTATTCAAGTTTCAACTGAGTGGTAAATAGGATTATTTATCTCATGCATACAAGGAATTCATTGTGTTAGGTAATTTATGAGAGATCTTCATGCTAACCTGAACACTTGTACTGACTTAATTTGTACACAATTTCTGTCTTACTGAATGATATCTTGTTTGCTGTGGCACCTATTCAAGATGATTGTATTTGATCTATTTCAACAAAAGCATTTAATAGATTCTTTAATTTTAAAATATTACTTCTCAAATGCAATTACTTTCATAGTTCCAATTAGTTGTATAAAAAAGAAATCTATATTATGTAGTTTTTTGAGTGCTTGCAGAAAAGCATAGATCTATTTCTAAAAGATTTATTAATTTCCTTAACCAAGAATATCTTGAGTAGACCAAACCTTGTTTTGATTAATTGTATTTATTACAGATATTTAACATTTTTATTTTATAACATACATTAATTTTTCTTAACACAGACTCAGTAGAATTTACAAACAAGGATCAAGATGCCAGTCCGTTGAATCCATTGTCAATCAATCTTCTTGGTCAGCCAAGGACAGAACCAATTCCACTTCCTCTTGCAATACAAGGAGGAAGACCTGGGGCTCAAATTAACAAACAGGTGTTGATGTTGTTTTTTATTCTTATTTTCTATTTTGGTATTCACAAAGATTCAAAGGTATAATTAAGATAATTAGTAAGAAGGTCTTGTGAAGTCTACCACTAATCATAGTAAATTCATTCAAAAAGGGCTTAATGTATTTTGTTTTGATGTAAATTAAATATTTAAGCAAAGTTTTGTTTATTGGCAGTTCACATCTAAGAATCTACTTTAGTATGATCATTTCATCTGTTCCTATATTTGTTTTGTCATTAAGGAATTGTATTGTTCTTCTTTACTTGAAGTCAAGGCATGATATATAGGATTTTCTTTGTTTAGGTTATTGGTCTTCTAGATATGTGCAAATAATTCAATCTAGGGTGGTAGTATTTCTTCAGATGACTTATCAAAACAAGCACTATAGTAATATCAAATTATTACTTTGTTTCCAATCTTCGGTACCATGTGTGTGCTTTTGACACCAGTGTGAAAACATTAAAGGCATCAACAAACCATTCTGCATTGGATAACAATTTTTCAGAAAAGTTTCTTTCTCTTTTAATGGGATATAGGATTTAGACCAGTCAATAAATCAGATTTAGCAAGTGAAATGGAATCCCATGCTCATAAAACATTCACACTATTCAGAGACATTTTTAATTAATAGATTATAAAATATAAAATATTTACAGTATGTAGGGGGGTCCTTGGGTTATGACGTTGATTCACTCCTACCTCACATTCTTCTTCTTCCAGCCAGTTTTATTGCTGCTGAGCTGTGAGCTTTTTTGCAGACTGTGCCAAGGAAAAAAAGTGTGCTGTTTTCTTCAGTTGTTCAGCACTGCCGTACAGGGTGTTGGTTATGTTGGGCTGTAGTTGAAGTAGGGTCTGCCTAAGGTGGATTAGGGAGGGGCATTCAAAGAGGATATGGTTTATGGCTTCAAAGGGGTGGGCGCAGTGTCTGCGAAGGGGGAGTTGTGTGGAGTTTATTTTGTTCAGGGGGTAATTTAATAGTAGTGTGTGTCCTGTTCTTAGTTGGAAGATTGTAGATTGTTCTTTGCGTGGGATCCTACGTCACATAAACGTATTTTGGTGTAAGTCGGAACATACAGTGCATAAATACTGTAAATACTTATCCTATATATACACCTATCCTAACACAGTACCTTGTATAATTAATTAAAGTAAAATAATAATAATATAAGATATGTTAAGTGATGAAACAAATCAGTAATAACAAAAAGTCATACAAAAAAGAGGGAAAAGACATTGGGAGGAAGCTGCAGAAGGGCAAAAGGTTAACAAAATCTGAACACACATGAGAGAGAGAAAGACAAAGCTACAAGCCAAAATGGCATACAATGCGACCGCAGTGATGCTGTCTTCCTCTTCCACCATGCACATCTTAACTTGGGACAGACATAACCCAAAGACTTCTTGTAATTACATGTTACTAGTGGCCCTATATACTAAAAAATATAAACTATAACTAGAATAGTGATTTTTCAAGAACTATATTCAATTGAGCCTACCTTTTATTTAAAGCAATTCTAAGATAAAAGTAAATTAAACAGAGTTTAAGAATTAACTAATTTTTTTGGGTTGTTTTTTTTAAGTAATAAAAAATCTTAAGTTTATCAAATTTTGAACCCAGCTTCGACCACCATGATCCTGTTCCTTTGTGGAACTTGTTTCATTTGTCCTTTTTCATTTTGCCTTAACTGTTGATAGAATGTCACCAAAAGTCAAATATTTTTATTATATCATTTTTTTAAAAATAGTTTTTAGCAGTTGAGGAACCAGCCAGACGTAAGGTCAAGACATCTTTAATTACAGGAGCTACACCCAAGGGTCAAAAACTTCTTGTGGAAATGAGAGGACTAATTTGCCAACCAGAACAAGTCAACTTTGGTGTCTTGAAAGAAGGCTCTACTTATGCCTATAATATATTCCTGAGAAATACTGGCGTTGATACTTGTCGTTTCAAAGTCACTCAGCCTCCGCCTGCTACAGGTCTTAGAGTATTGTACCAACCAGGACCAGTAAGACTCTTAATTAAGACAGTTAATGAATTGTTAGGTTGTTTCTTTTCATGAGAATGCTCTTAATTCATTTTGTTCATTATATACAGAACAAAGAATTAACTTTACGTCTATTGACCTTTAATTGCTTAGGTAGCTGCAGGAATGTGGGCAAACTTGACTCTTGAACTTTATGCTATAGCTAATGGTGTGGAGGGAGAGTCAGGTGTTGGGAAATTGGAGCATGTGCTGGAAGTAATCACAGAGACACATGTACTGGAAATACCAGTACAGGCAAATATCCTTTCAATCAAACAATAATAGCGAGACATGAAATGATGCTAACAGCTTTAACATTTATTGGAATAGCTAATGTAGTCAATGCTAAATAAACACAATGATATTTTTTCTTAATTAATTCTACCTATATTGACTGCTGATGAATATGAAAGTAAAAAATCAACACAAGTGAAAGAAAGTTATGCCCGACTTGTATCAAATAAGCCACCAGCTTTGACTGGCATCATAAGACCACGCAAAGATCAAAGAATAAGTACGTATACTTGAGATAAATAACTGCCTGACACAAATGTTTCGCCCACCACAAGTTTTAAAAAATGATTCACTAAACAATTTGTTGAAGAAGTTCTAGATTGTAACCTTACAGTTTATGTAGACCATAAATGAAAAAACAAAAAATACTTTTATTAATAAACAAAGCTTAAATTAAGCGTAGTTTAATCAATTAGTTTTGGATCAGTTAAGTAATTAAATTTGTAATAGGTCTAGACTAACCATAATAAATGTATGTGATTACAAATATTTTTACCAATGGAAGGCACTAGTGCAAGAAGGTGGTTGTCATATTTGTATGAGAATTGTGGAAGTGACAAATTTTGTCACCAAGATGCTCTGTGCACCTTCTGACTTCTCATGTGTGTAATTGTAGATGTGTGTACATAGTCCCATTGAAAGCATGTACTGGTGGGGCTATGCTCATCATGGGTGTAGCCGGGGGGGGGGGGGGGGGGGGGGCACGAAATTCATTGACTGATTTTTTTGCTTTCATTTTATTTTAGGTGAGATAAAACTAAATCATCACTTACCACAGCACAGCCAAGGGGGTTTTGAGTTTTAAAAAACCCTATTAGGGGGTTTTGAGATAAAAATCCCTCTAGCAGGGGGTTTTGAGTTAAAAACCTCCTACCAGGGGTTTTGCAGTTATCGCCCCTTCTTCTATAAACAAAACTAAAAAAAAATGCAAACGACAATTCCCAAATTCCTAGAAAACAGCTAAGGAAGATTTTGACTTTAAAACCCCTCCAAAAATTACGATAAACACCCTCTCAATATAATAAAAGTAAATTACACATTCAAAATTCTATGAGCCAAAGGGGTTTTGAGTTTAACCCTCCCCCTCCAGTTGGGGTTTGAAGCTAAAAAGTTCCTATTCGAAATAAAAAAAAATAATCAAATTACACACTATAAAATCTATTAGCATAGCCAGCCAAAGGGGTTTTGAGTTTAAAACCCCCTGCCAGGGGGTTGATTTTAGTTTTTAAAGGTCTAGTCTAAATCTAGTTTAAGGTTTACAATGCCTAAGTTAAGTCTAAGTCTAAAGTGAAAGCTAATTTACAATGACAATTAAATCAAATCAAATGGTTTATTAAATTCAAAATATGGACCTAGACTACATCTAATTCTAGATCAATATATATATATATATATATATATATATATATATGTATATATATATATAGAGAGAGAGAGAATAATCATGAGCATATCATCTCTGTCAATCTAAGAAGGAAGTAAATTCCAATCTCTTTCAATGAAAGAAGATCAAGTCCTTTTTAGATTGACAGAAAAGTAAATTATGGTGAGCCCAAGAGCCCTAAAATAGTGTAAAATTGCCAATTAAAACTGGAAACACTAAATTTTAGTTCATAGCCCACAACAACCAAATATTACAAGGAACATAAAAAAAATGTATTTTTTCCATTTATTTCAAAATGACCTAATCGTGACTTGACCACCTTCTTGATCTAGGCCCTTCAGTTTAGCTCAATTTCATACTTTTAGCTTTCTCAGTACACTATGATCTTATCACTTGTCTGGACCATTTGGAAAGGGGTGGGGGAAGGGGGTATCTGTGTGAATGTTACCATGATGGCTTTTTAAATGCATTTATAAAAAAGTGAATGACCTGAATTTAAACTCGAGGCCTAAATCCTCCTCAAGCTATTCAAGCCATTTCACTAAAAATAATAATTGTGCAAAATTTCAGCTTAATCCGAGATTGGATAAGGGAGAAATAACATATACAGACAGACAGAGTGAGTTAATATAAGCTTTGTAAAAAAAAAAAATTCACATAAAACATATTTCTCCTCTTTCTTTCTTTGTGTAATTATAAAATGATAATTTTTTTTTTCAGGTATAACATGATTAACAAAAGCCTGAACTAGACTGCAATGTTAATGAATTACTTTTTTCTTTCTATTACATCAAATTTTGTGTTATTTTTTTTTAAATTTTTCCAAGAAAAATGGATAGCAATAAATTGTTTGTCCTTCTAATTACAACACAGTGTTAAGTAAATAGTGCTTCATTTGGATTTGAAATTTTGTCTATAATTTGATTCTTCTATTTAGGTTTTTTTTTTTAAATATACAATATATATTTTATTGAACTTAAAAGCCATAGAATTGGATATGTAAAAATATCTTATACAATTTTGTCTGTAAGTTTACAGTATTGGATGTTGATTTTTTTTTATCATGCATATGGAAATAAACAAATTTTTCCTTTGATTAATAGTTGAAGAATTAATTTTGTTTTATTTAATAGAATAGAATTCAGCTGTTCATGATAAGGCTCATTGCAATAAAAACAGTAGCAATAGTTTTAGTGAGTAACAGAGAGAATGTCTGACACTTAGGGAAGTGTATCATTTGATAGTACAAAGTACTTGATAAAGTCCTGTCCTTCATCTTGCATCAAAAGTTCAATAAACAAGTGCTATTTTTTATGACTGCTCTTCATTTTCAAACTCATTATTGACACATGTAGCTAATATAATCTGTGAAAGATAAATTAGAGAACAGAGTTTACGCTAACAACAGAAGCAACAGTTTGAATCAACATTTTTAGTTTGACTTGACAGAAGAATGACAAAAGAAACCACTTTTCATGACAATGTATGTGATATTAACAAAATAAATATTTTAATGCAATGCTTAAAATTTTTTTTTTTTATTTTCTTGTTTGCATATTAGTTTGAGGAGATTTAATATTTTCTTTTGCTAGAACTTTCAAGTCATTTTTTTTCTACTCAAAATGTCTAGGGGTTGGTGGGGGGGGGGGGGGGGGGGTGGTAAAAAATCGCTGTAATTATGAAACAGATATTATCAAAATAGCATTTGAACTATTGTGCAATGGGAACTTAATTGTTGTTTATTTAGATCATAATTCATTCATTCATGTATTATACTAAATTTGAGCCATCTTTGAGTTGATAGGAAATGAGATTGTGTTCATTTTTCCACTATGAATAATGAGCTAGACTACTATATATATACACACATATTCGCAAATTTTTTTTCCTTTAAGTAATAAAAACAACAATTAACAAACTAAATATAAAATTACTTTAAAAAAAACGAGCTTATATAAGGGAAAGAAATACACACTTACAGCCACATGTCTCAATACAGTAAGATTTATTTACCTTTTAATCAAATAAAATTAATTGATTACCACATTTAATGAATTAAATGTTTAGACTGCTTCAAGTTTCTTAAGGGAAAATGAATAATCATGAGAAGTTTCAACCTGATCCGCCAAGCAAGGAAAGTGGGATAAATAATGTGTACACAATTTGTACCAGACAGACAAGAGTTGATATAGGCTTGGTACAAATACTAGTCAGGTAGAGATGCTTTAAATTTCCTCTTCTGAGGGGTTACATTTGCATGTGCTAACGCTATGGAAAAGAAACTTAGAATCCCCCTATTTAATATATTCATTCCAAACTCTAATCCTGTTATTATTTGAATATAAAATAAAATATAAAAATCAGGACATGACTGAGTGTCCACATTGGAGACCAATAAATTACAAAATGAAGAAAAACTAGAGAACTCTTACAAAGAAAAGAAATACAAGCACATAGGATGAAAAGAAAACTTCAATAAACTCCTTTTATCTGCATCAGATCTGACAAAATATACAGATCACTATCTCACATGGACTCAAAAGACAATGCTTTATATTTAAAAATTATCCCTAGGAATTCCTCCTAAAGCCACATTTTATTTTCAAAAAGGCAAGTTTAAGAAATAGACAAAATATTAACATTGTTTAAAATGTTTAAAAATATTAAATTTTAAAAATATAGCAACAATTTTGTCTGTTTCTTAATTATTGTTTAGTAAATTAAAATACTATTTTGTAGATTAAAATGCTATATTATAAATGGAACACTGTCTTCAACAAAGATTAAGAACAAGTGCATTATGATTATTGGCTATGCAGACCCAGCTATGAGCGTCAGGATTTTAAGACATTATCTGCTGATGGTCTACTGAAGTGCTCTTTTTGCAATCTGCACATTTCTTTTGCCATGCTTTTGTTTGGGTCTCAAATTATGTCCTATGGTCTCTGTAAGCTGTCTGCTTTTTGGGAGGCCAGTTTCTTCCAGGTTTTTTTCATTTGATTTGTTCTCTGAATTGAGGTTACCTTCTTTTAAGCCATCCTACTTTAAACCCACCCAAAAATTTACCTTTGGCATATGATCATACCAGATACTTAAAAGATATACATTGTGGAATAATAATGTATCTAGTGTTACTTTAGTTCACTAAACAATCATGATGTAGTCTTGCCATCTATGCCCATAATGCAGTGCAGACACCTTAAATGGAATGGTTCGAAAACCTTTGGTGGAATGGTTTAATAACCTTTATATGCTTTTTATAAAGTGTTGTGAGAACCAAAGATTAGTAGACAGATATTTGTCACAAGACTGAGAGACTAATTTGACCAAATGTCTATTTTTATGCAGTCAAAAGCATCAGCTTCTTTAATCAGACAATAAAATATATCTACAGAAGAGATTGAAACTACTACTATTCAATTTAATATTCAAATCTGATTTCAGGTTACTTCAAAATAAATCAAATGTTTTACCTTCATGGCTTTGTTTTTGTACAGCTCTTCTCTTTTCTGTTCCTCTTTGGCCAGTGAAATCTAAACATTTAATACAAATTCAATATTTAATAAAAACTAACTATCAAACACAAACTTAATTCATCAAATTCTTTAGTATTGAATTTTATTTTTTAGTTTCACACACAGTTTGTGAAGTTATCTATAAATAAAGCAGAAAGTAAAGTGTTTGTATGTATGTATGTATGTATGTCCTGAATAAAAATCAAAACCATTTAACCAATCTTGATCAAAATTGGCATAAATATTCCTTAGATCATGGCAGAGACTGTATTGTATGTTTAATGTTCCTAACACAACGCTTTTAGTGGTGCCACGTTTCTCCCTCAAAAGCTAGTCTGTTGGCTTATTCAGTCGGGGACCAAAAGTTTGGAACTCACTTCTCATTGATCTCAGACAGACAACATGCTACACTACTTTCAAAAAGGACATTAAGACCTATCAGTTAAAAAATTTTTTAGATTAGTTTTGTCATTTTAGCTGTCGTATTTGTGTTTGTAATGTTATAACAACGCCTTGAGCCTGCATTTTGTTTTTTTAACAGCGCTTTATAAATAAAATTATTATTATTATGTTGACTGAATGGGTAAACCCATTTTCATATTCTACTTTTATTTTCATGGTAAAATTTTTAAAAATTTGAAGGAAACATTCTCCAAGTTTCACATAGATCTAAATTCAATCCAGTTGATCAGTAATACACAAACTAAGGCCATCCGGCTGTGGGTCATATCAGGCTAGTAGTTGTATAAAGACAAGGGTCACATCAATTCCAAGAATTCTTTATATAAAGAAATATTGAAATGTGATCATTAGAGATTAAAACAGTCTGAAGTATATATTTATAGCTTTTATATAGCGCTTCTTTCATGGTTATAACATGCTCAGAGCGCTTTGGTCCAATCTCATTTGTGGATGAGTGGGCGGAGGGGGTATCTAGGAGTTAGTTTTCCGTGCTGCCTTTAGGTGCTCAGTATGAATTTTTAATTCATAAAAAGTGATGTTATTAAGTTACATTTGCTTCCAAACAGTAGATCTAGTAAAGTAACAGTTTGCATATGAAAGCATAGCCTATAATGTCTTGACATCACTTTCTGCTTGAGTTTTACCTCATGAGCTTTGGACTCTTCAATTACTTTTTCTGTAATTTGTAACACAAATAAATACAAATGTTCTAATTCCCGTATAGAAGACAAGTGGTAAGATACAAAACTATACAAATCGACATATTTGCAGTAGTTTCTAAACAAAATAATGACATTGTAGCCAGTTTTGGTTCATTTAGTAAAAATCTACATTAAACATTTTAACATAGTATTCTATGGACAATAAATAAATTTTGTCAATTTACTAGATATAAATCTTGTAGCATATGTTAGAATATTGAATAAAATTTTTAAATTAATTTCTTTCTTTTTTTTTTGGATAAATTTGTGACTTAAAAGTTTCTATGTTAGGCAGAGCTTTTGAAGGCTTTTCTTATTTAACTGAATTTTAAAAATATTACTACATATGAAGGAAAAATTAAAGGCAACAATTGTGATGTATGCACAATGTCCTAGTAAAACATTAGCCACAGAAATGGATGCGATCTAACAACATAGAAAGACTTTACTTTGGACATATTGAATGTTTACATCTTACTAATACTTACAAAAATATCTTTGTATTTCAAGTCGCTTTCTAGTAATTTGATCTGTAGTAACAAGTCTATCTTGTCTTCTTTAGAAGCCTTTTCTTTCAAATTGTCTTGTGCTTTTCTTTGTATTTCCTTGTTTTTTTCAATGGCCTCAATGCAGGTATTCAATTTTTTTTTTCTAAATCCAATTCTTGATGTCATCTACAATTGAAAACTATGTTAGGAATGATATAGGATTCAACAAATCACAGTTGTCTATGCACAAAACACAGAAAAGTAAATAAAAAGTCTTTGCAGTTCATTTTGCTGATAACATTAAGCTCATTTGGATTAAACACATGTTGTATGGCAAGATGTGCAATGAAAGCTTAAGTGTAGGAATATGGAGATATCCCTAAGGAGTTGTGACCTAAAAAAAACAACAACTTATGTGATAAAATTATAATTTAGTTAATGGGGGTCCTAAAGATGGTTCAATGAAGATCCCTTCTCTGTTTCCTGACCATGTGGTGTATTGAGGAATGCCCACCAGATATGGTAGTTACCAGATAGATAAATCAAATACCTGGGCAGACCAAAACCATCATCAGCCTT